TTTCTAACGCTATAAAGCGTGACCCGATCGCACTTATACAACGCGAGATACGGATTACTATAGCCATCTATTAGAAAAATAATGGATTACTTTTTACTACACCTAATATTATTAAAGAAGAGTATGCCTTGCCATAGATTTGCTGTCATACCGTTTACATTGTGTATTTTTTTTATTATAAATTTTTAATCTAAATACTGCAAATCTTCTTATAATTTTAGTATATAAATAAATTTCTTATATATATTATTATCCATTTTGCTTTTTAGCATTTTATTTGCAAATTGCAAAGCTTTTATTTTTTTTCTCTTAATGATAAGACGTTGTTGCTGTTTGTTCACCAATTCTTTATACTTCTCATTTTCTTTTTTACTTCCTCGATATTCAGATACTATTTTTGAAGTTGTAGGTTCCGTGTCAATAACCTGAAAATATTGTATGTATTATAATAAAGTATGTTAGTTATATCATACTTTTATTCTTATAATAGACTTGCTGTTTCCATATTAACTTCTTCATTTGTACATTCATTTTGTGTATCACTGGTTATTTTATTATCGCTATCATTTTCTCTCGTTGGTACTTGCTTTTTTACAAAAAATCCAAAGATTGTTGGTATTGCATGTTGTTTTAATTTCTGTTTGCGGCCAGGTTCCCACATTTCTGGGGCAAAATAAACCTACATAATAACAATGGTTAATTATATAATTTAATTATGTGTCATGAAGAAAAGCACAGAAATTTTAGAAAGTTTATTAAATTAATTTTAATCAACATTACAATTATTTGATTATAATAAACTAATATATTACTACTAACCTCACAAAGAAAAGAATTGTTTGTTGGTGCCCAATTTTCACGCGGAACATTCTGTGCCCATAAAGCTCGACGTACAGAATCTCTAGGAAATATCTTCATAATATAACCTTTTGATGATGAATTGTTGCAAAACGGTGCTGCACATCCACCTATTTTCACACAATTTTTTACATAATTATAACAAATTTTACTTAAAACAAACGTAGTCATGTGCAAATGTAGCCATGTGCATGAATGCGTCAGAAAGAGCTAGATTAAAGAAAAAGAGATAGTGAATATATCTTTCTCTCTCGCAGAATTTTGACAAAATCGCTTGATGGCCAGACTCTAATTTAAGGGTCTCTAGGACCAACTATAGCAAAACGTGATACTAACTACAGAGCTGCTATTCCAGTATATGAACGTTTAGCTGTAACTTTACGTTTTTTGGCTACAGGAGACTGTTTCACCAGCTTAATATATCTTTTCAAAATTTCAAAACAAATTATATCTCTAATAGTAATTGAGGTTTGTTCAGCTTTAAATGAGGCACTTCGTGAATATATACAGATAGATACATAATTATTTTACATTTTGCTTTAATTTAATCTCTGTTTTCTCCTTCTGTTTTTAATTTTTTAAAATCTTTTTAGTATCCAAAAAGTTATGAAACTTGGTGTAAAATAGCTAACGATTTTGAATATAAATGGAATTTTCCCAAGTGCCTTGGAGCAATTGATGGAAAACATAATTTTACAAGCTCCAATACATAGTGGCACAGAATATTTCAACTACAAAGAATCTTATAGCATTGTATTATTTGGAATTACCGATGCTAACTATTCTTTTATATACGCTGACATTGACTGCCAGGGACGAATTTCAGATGGAGGTGTATGGAATAATTGTAAATTTTCTTCAGAATTAGCAAATGGAACCCTGAATTTGCCTCCGGAAAATGCACTGCCAGAAAGAACCAAAAAAATTCCATATGTTTTTGTAGCAAACGATGCATTTCCATTACAAAATAATATAATGAAACCATATCCTGGAAAACAAGAAAACGGTTCAAAAAAACGTATATTTAATTACCGACTCTGTAGAGCAAGAAGAATTATTAAAAATACTTTCAGAATTTTATCTATTGCATTCCGTGTACTACAAAAACCTCTCCTACTCAAGCCAGAAAGTGCAATAACAATAGTTTTATCATGTGTATATTTGCATAACTTTTTGAAAAAAAATCAGACGCAAGATGAAGTAGACGGAGAAATAATTAAAGCTACTTGGAGAACGGAGAATGATCAACTAACACCTTTGTTGCCACTACCAATAATAGGTCGAAGAACAGCTCGAAGTGCTAATGATATTCGCGATGAATTTTCTGAATATTTTTCTTCTAACAAGGAATCTGTACTATGGCAGAATTTATATACATAAAAAATATTATATACATATATACGCGCGCGCGCGCGTGTGTGTGTGTGTGTGTGTGTGTGTGTATATATATATATATATGTAAAATGTGCTAATATATTTTGAAATTAAAATTAAAATTGAAATTAAAATTACTGTAAAAATATATTTTCAAATATGAATTCTCATCACACTTCTATTTATTAATAAAACATACAATATTAAAACTATCGATAGTTAAAATGTTCGTGTATTGTATTATAATGTTTACATATTCATGTTTACATATGTTATAAATTAACACGTAAATCAATGTAAATCAAATTACAAAAATTAGAGCCAGCAATTAATTATAGAATCTTTTTCTTTTGAGTTTGATAAAGAAGTTAGATTTAAGTTCGTATTTGTATTATAACTGGTACTTGCTTGTGAACTGAATGTTGAAATATTACTTTTTTCTTTTTCTTGATAGACACTATACTGCCCAAGTCCCATCTCAGCTTCATATAATATCCGATTTATTTCAAATTGAGCAGTAGCTTTTACTTGAGGATTCAATTTTCTTAATTTAGTTGCAACATATTCACCATAGGCAGTATATTCATCACGTAATATTTTTCATTAAATTGTAAGCCTCCGTAACTCTGGGATCTTCTTCCGGTTTCTTTCGTTTGTATTGTATACTTTTTGGAGAGCAAAATTTTTTAGGTGTTACACTGCTAGTGATATCTACAGGAAAACATGTCTCTGATGAATTTGTTATTACCTCTTCTGCTGTAACATTCTTTTCCAATTTCGATTCTACTACTATTTCTTCTTCTTCTTCTTTATCTTTTTTTTTCGCTGAGGGATTATCCTGTTGAAAAAATATGCATTAGTAGCTTACACATTATATGAATTTTACATAGTACAATAAGAAAATGGAAATTAATTATTGCTTACATTTTTATTTCCGATTGAATCTGTTGTTGATTTGACTTTGTTCTTATCTGATAAAAATGAAAGATATTTATATCCAAACCACGACGTTGAATAAACTTCATTAGTCCCTATTCCTGCCTTAAGCTTCTTATCAGTTTTTTGTTTTTCTCGACGGTATTCGGCCAATAAAACTTTCATTTTTCTTTCTATTTCCATTTTATCAATTTTGAGTTTAACAGATATATTATTCCATGCATTATTCTTTTTATTTTTATTTCTGTAATCTGTCAATTTGACATTCCACAATACGGGTTCTTCTTTGTAACATTCAATTAATTTTACGATTTCTTTTTCTGACCATTCCATTTCAATTTTTTTTTCCTGTTATATAAAAACAACCTTGGTTATATATTTTAATAAAAAAAACACAAGATAATAGGTCTGTTCTTTATAGCTGAACTGACTGCACTAGTTCAGAGTTTATTTTTTGCCCTCCACATTGAAAGGAGAAAAATAAACTCTGAACTAGTGCAGCCAGTTCAGCTATAAAGAGCAAACCTTAAAGACTAATCATTTTCCATAATCTTTTTAAAAAATTTAAGTCAGAAATAAGGACTAACAAAGTTTATTCTATGTTATAATTTGAATATAAATGTTAAATATTAAAAATATAATATAATAATACTAATATTGATTAAATATTAATATTAATATTTTTATAATTATTTACATTATTATTATTAAATTATTATTATTATTGTTAATATTACATTTATTGTACTTACTTTCTAATATTATTATTGCTAATTTACTAATCGCCACAAATACGTCCACACCGATATGTTTGGTTCGATTTTTCGCGAACTGCTCGCAAACAGCAACCAAACAAATGAAACAAATGTTAATTGATCAACTGTTAACGAAGAGAGGGGTTCAACTGCCTACATTCCCATTTGCCAACAGCTTCGTTTGCCTACAACATTTTGCCGACAGCTTCAATTGCCGACATTCCCGATTGCCTATAGAGCGATTGTCTACAAGCATTGTTGCGCACATTTAAAAGTTAAAAATACAAACGTACGTTTGCACACAAGACATTATTGCACACAAGACATTATTGCACACAAGACATTATTGCACACATGACATTATTGCGCACATACACATTGCACACATAATATTATTGCGCACATAAAATAAAAAAATCGGAGAGAACTTTAACTGCCTACATTCCCATTTGCTAACAGCTTTGTTTGCCTACAACATTTTGCCGACAGCTTCGATTGCCTACAAGCATTATTGTGCATATGTAAATATTAAAAATACAAACGTACGTTTGCACACAAGACATTATTATTGCGCACATACAAATTGCACACATGACTTTATGATATAAACCTCGTATCGCATCTGAAGCACAGGGTGATGTGAACTGGACCTCGCTTTGCGCGAAAAGTTGCAAACCCACGGGGAATCGTATAATTATAAACCTCGTTTTACATCTGAAGCACAGGGTGATGTGAACTGGATTTCGCTTTGCGCGAAAAGTTGCAAACCCACTGTAGAATATTAATTTTTTATATAAAAGATTTTTTATTTTGTAAACCGCGCCGAGGCCACGTCACCACTTGTGGGCGCGAGAGAGTTGTTAGAGTAGAAGTGAGCAGTCAGTCGTAGTAGTGTATGAAGTGTAGACAGAAGCTTATGGCAAAAGGAAGAAAAAGTTCAATTATTTTCCGTGTGATCCATGTGCCTAAAAAGGAACCTCTCCACTATCCTGACGAATAAAAAAGAGGATGTCCTACAGTTTTCAGAAGTGGGATACGCGGAATTAAGAGAACACGTGGATTGAGTGACGATCGAGCGATTTACCGGTGTACGGCGTACGAGTGGCTTGTAGCATTGGGTTCGCGTGTGTCGATTGAACGAGGTCTGTCGACCATATAGACGTTAAGACATTAGCGTGATACGAAGTGTGAGACATAAGGTACGAGACGGAAAGCGTGAAGCGGCCCTCGTGTACGGAAAGGGGCCAAAGGCGATCGTCATTCGCCATTTTTCATGCAAAGGCATAAGTGCCACGTGGCAACAGGACAAGCGAGCTACGCCACGAACTACGAATAGGTTGCGATAGGCCGAGTCGGCAACGTTAGCGATCTCGACGGCAGCAACGTGTGACATTTACGTGAACAGCTAGTCGGTTATAACATAATTACCGACCGAGCAGGCATAACACTTACGACACGTACATGCCATAAGCTAAGTATTGTTAAGTCTACTTTAGGTTACGTGTGTGCATTAAAGTTTCCTATCAAGGACTGCGTACGTTGAGATTATTTTATGATAGCCACGATGGATGCTGCTAATCGCTTTACGGTACTTCAACTCAAAGAAATGTTGAGGCAACGCAATCTCCAGACAGGAGGAACAAAGCTGGAATTGGTAAAGAGACTACTGGAGGCGAATCCAGATGGAACATGGATGGACGATGCCGACCCTCCACCGGAACAAGAAAACGACCAAGAGGAAGGCGAACCTCAGCCGGAATGGAACCAATACGAATTACTGCGTCAAGAGCTGGAAATTACGAAACGTGAACGAGATGTGGCACGACGAGAAGCAGTCTTGGCCCAGTGAGAGTTAGAATTAGCAAATACGACGAATAGAAGGAACTTGATGGTCGGAGATCAAGGAAGCCAAGATTTTGCAGACGATGTACGCGGGTACCGACTACTACAACGGGGGGCATCTACTGTGCAGCCATCATTACGAGCAGACGTAAAAGGCATAGGAGACCTTTTGGGTAGTTTTTACGGAACCGCTACTTTGAAGATTGGGAGAAGCAAGTCCAACTAGTCAAAAGACTATTTGCTGTGGACGATGCTATCATGAAGATGATCATCAGCTCCAAACTTACAGGAAAAGCGGACAGATGGTTCCGCTCTAGATTTGAGCATACGGAAATGACACTTGACGCATTACTTGCCGCGATGAAGAATGGATTCGACCAACGGCCAAGTAGAGTAGATCGTCTCAGAAAATTTGAACAAAGAACCTGGCAGACGAGTGAATCTTTTAACAACTATTATCACGAGAAACTCATCTTAGGCAACTTAGTGCCGATTGGAGAAACGGATTTGCTGGATTATTTGGTGGACGGAATACCAGACATGATGCTACGGAATCAAGCCAGGATGCAAAGTTTCGACACAGTGAAGGATTTGCTAAATAGATTTCGTAAGATTTCCCTTTCGAACCGTGTCAAGAAAGAATCGTCATACGGGGGAAATACCGCTGTAGAAAAATCGACGCTGAAAGTGAAGTCGGCCAAACTGCCAAAAACAAAATCGTAAGAAGATCACAGTGACAAACCGATCAAATGTTACAATTGTAACCAGCCGGGACACCTTTCAAGAGACTGCCAGAAACCCAGAAGGGAAAAAGGATCGTGCTTAGGGAATACAATTTGGAGTCTCTTTTTCGATCCCGGGATTTCGGGATTTTTAAGAATCAATCCCGGGATCCCGGGCTTATCCCGGGACTAAACAAAAAGGAATTAAAATTATATGTTTGTTAAAAATTGAACTTTTTTAAAATTAGATTTATTATATCTCTAATAATCAACAAGTTAACATAATATCCACTAAAATTAAACAAGATTTCTTCATTATTCAGTTATAAATTTATGAACTAATAAAAAAAAAGTAATCAACAATGTACCTATAAAAAAATTAACTTTTTTTATTAATCAGTTATCATATGTAGATAATAAAACTAAGCATTTTGTTTTAATTAGTCTTGAATATTAGGAACAGAAAATAAACTTTATTAAGATCACAGACTTTCTTAGAAACAAAAAATGTACTTATTATATTTGTTGCAATTTTTAGAAGTCAGGTCCAAGTCTTAAAAACTTTTTTATGTTTAATAAATACACCATCACGCGACATTTTAAATAATTATATTTCGGGCAAAGCGATCTATTGGATTGGAGTGCGTAGCGTGAACTAATGAAAATCGTGAGCCGACCGACCTGCCAGTGCAAGTAAAACAAACACGTTCGTACATGTCAGAAAGAACAGTTGAGACACGTTTGCGAGTTGCGTCTTGCAAGAAAATCATCGGGTACAAAAGTAAATCAACAATAATGTAGTCACCAGTCACGCACAAAATATTTTGAGAATATTATTCATTGATAAATGACATTAGTGGATATTATTATATGTATATAATTATTGATTTATTAAAAATATCTAATAAAAAACGTTTTTGACAAATCTCGAAAATCCCGAGATTAGTAATTTACAATCTCGGGATTTT